AGTTAATTCTAATGATTTGAACTTAACTCGGCTGAAAAAAAATTGTATTCGCAATCGGAATGCAATTGCAACCAGATTCGATTTAAGAAACCCGATGGCTAGAAGAAAGAAATATACATGTATATCCTGTTTTTGTCCATCTGAAAGAATTTTAAAAATTATATAAACGTTTATTATGTTTAAAATGCAACCGTGGACACCAGCTGTCAGGGAAACTTGCAAATTCCCATGATACAATAATAGGTGCGTTCGTTTAAAATCTCCAGTAAAAACCAACCAACTGCCAAATTCCGGCGAAATGTCATTTGTTCTCTCACAAGAGAAAAATATCCCAAATAGTACGCGAACAGAAAATTTGCAGAAACTTGCAAGTTAGATGAACAGCTGATATAATTTTTGTTTACATTCAAAAGTGTAAAATTTAAAACGTATGAAAAGCCATCACAAAATGTTATACTGACACAGTTTATTGATTAAACAAATACAAGTTTAATTAGTCGCATTTTGTAATTTTTAACTTCCAAACCATCAAATTCAATTTTGTGATTTGCGTAAATGCCAACCAGCTGTTTTTGATCAGCTGTTTTCCTGTTGGCAAATTGCAGTTGGCAAAAATTTTTCCAGCAGAAACCAGCAGCTTCCCCTCAAAATGAAATGTCACTTTGCTCTCTCAATTTCCCCTACTTTGCAAGTTTTTTGCGTTCGCGAACGCAAAAACTTGTAAGTTTTGGTTAAACATGAACAATTAACAGCTACGCGAACGCAACTAATAGGTGCGTTCGTTTAAAATCTCCAGTAAAAACCAACCAACTGCCAAATTCAGGCGGAGTGTCATCTGTTCTCTCACAAGAGAAAAATATCCAAAACAGAAAATTTGCAGAAACTTGCAAGTTAGACGAACACCTGATATAATTTTTGTTTACATTCAAAAGTGTAAAATTTAAAACGTACGAAAAGTCATCACAAAGTGTTATACTGACACAGTTTATTGATTAAACAAATAACTACTTATTTCTTACAAGTTTAATTAGTGGCATTTTGTAATTTTTAACTTCCAAACCATCAAATTCAATTTTGTGATTTGCGTAAATGGCAACCAGCTGTTTTTGATCAGCTGTTTTCCTGTTGGCAAATTGCTGTTTGCAAAATTTTTCCAGCAGAAATGTCACTTTGCTCTCTCAATTTCCCCTACTTTGCAAGTTTTTTGCGTACGCGAACGCAAAAACTTGTAAGTTTTGATTAAACATGAACAATTAACAGCTACGCGAACGCAACTCATACAAGGTGTTATCAGTTGGCAACTTCTCGCTCTAATTCCGCTATATTGACTGCCTTACGTGAAACAGTGTTACTTCTTTAACTATTCTTTGCCCATTAATATAGTTGAATGTTTTTTATTTTTGCTCAGCATCCACACTTCGTTTTCTTAAAAAGGTATTTTATCGTATTTACTTCATTTCATATCGAATATACTATAAAAAAGCAAATTTTGTTTAGGAGAAAATGTGAAATTTTATATTTTTCCCCCATATGGGGATCATTTCTTCCCATTTTTCTTCTCATTCTACTGAGCTAAGGCAGTGTCAAATCGAGCTGTCACAACTGATACCACCTTGTATTATTGCTTCATGGCAAATTCCTGCAAATTTGCGTTCGTGCAGAAATTTGCAAGTTTCTCAACATGAGACATGATTCAATAATACAAGGTTCGATAAACTGACAGTTGTCTCTCTCGCACCGCTCCCTTAGCAGTGGCACCGTGTTGCTTCTTTGCACATTTACATGGAAACAGTGTAGCTTTGGTGTGATATAGAGGTATGAGCGTTTGTGCAATATGTTTATTTGTATATGCATATGAAGCATATTTAACTGTTGAAAACATAAACTGTTTTTAAATGGGATGTTTACATCAATCTCATAGTAGTCTTATTTTAATTTTGAGTCATTTTGCATTTTTTATACAGCTAAATAGCACATAAATTACGTAATTTACATAGATACATCAATATTACGTTCAAAATTTCGTTTAAAATGCCAGATTTCCTGCAAAAACATTAGAATTTACAAAAGGAATTTCACTACTAATTGCCTACTTTGCGTACTTTTCTACTACCATTTTCGCACCAAGAGATTTCATTCTCCCCTTTTCTCCGTCCTTCGTAAATGCAACCTTTTGTATGGGAGTGTCAAACCGCAGCTGTCAATAATTAGGAGCGTTCCTTATCTCCCAGAAATAGTCAGAAAAAGTCCGAAGTAGTCAGATTTAGTCCAAAAAGCGTTCCTTAACTCGGAAATGACAGCAAAAATGAGAGAGCAACAGTCAGTGAGAGTGACTCTCATCAGTCCGAAGTAGTCAGATTTAGTCAGAAGAATTTTTTCTGGCAAAATCCTGAAAAGTGTCAAACTCAACTGAATTTAAATTAACGGAAATTAAAGAATACGCTAAAAGTGAGAATAATCTAAAAAGTAAAAGAAATGAATTGAAATTGGAAGAAGGCAAAAAATAATTGATATAGCAAGTGTTTATTATGCTTGTGCTTGTGTGAATGTGTTTTGTACGTACATTTCTGTTCTTATTTGACGTTAGTTTTGTTGTTGCCATTCTTTGGACTAAAAATTTGGTTTTTTGCGTTCCTTTACTTTTCCTGTTATTCTCTTTTAGTGAGCGCATTTTGCTTACGCTCTGGCATTTTGACACTTTTCAGATTTTAGTCCAAAAAGATAAGGAATGAACCTATTATCTAACCTTGTATTATTGAATCATGAACATGAGAGAGAATTTGAGAGCATTTTTTTACTCTCTGGTATTTTGAGTGTTGGATAATTCTTGCTGGATTTTCGACGAACAAACCTAACATGAAAATTTCCTTGTTCAACACGAATTTGTGATGAAAGCAAACGTCAAAACACCTGGTTTTTGTTTGTTATTTTTCCAATTCGTGAGCGAAAATTTCGGCTTGTAATTTTTTAAGAAAGAAACCGAGTTCCTTAAGTGATGAGTAAAATAAAGAAACCCAAATCCGTGCTAAAGCCACCTCCACTAGTGGCGCCCCGTCGTGAGTCACCAGAAAATGAGGCTCAAATGGAGTTGGAACTATGTTGGTGTGTGCAACAGTTGGAGAATGCGCTCAATTCGGGGAAACTTTCACAGAAAGTTGGCAAGTTTTTGATAAATATGTACAAATTCATATCTTATTGCTAACTTTTATTATTTCCTTTCCAAAATATAGCTGATGATACCGCGAAAACTTTAAGAATACTTAAAAGCTCAAATTCGCCCTTTGTAAAGAAGCGTCAAGCAATGAAGGCTGCATTAGGAGACTATCGTGGAAAAATGAAAGAGGAAGAAAGGAAGATGGCACTAGGTAGGAATTGCGTATATCGTCGCTCGATTAAAGAAACAGTGTAAATGCCACATACACTATTATTCGATAATTGCACCATTGGATAGACAATCCTTTAATCTATTAGAAAAATCTTTAGTTTTCTTAAATATATCTTCGGCTCACTAATTTATTCCCGAAAAACGAAATTGTATTTGTAATGGTTTGTAACAACTTCCAATTCGTTTTTCTCAAAACTATACTTTTCGTGTTACACTATTTCATTATTCCAGCGGCGATATGTTTTAATGCATACATGTTTTTTTATATTTATTCCATTTTCAGCCGCCAAGCAAATTAAATTTACGCAAACAATTGAAGCTAATAGAAAATCTAGCTTTCTGAAGAAATCTGCTATAATGCAAACTGGTAAAGACTTCAGATTCAATTTTCAAACTCCAAAGCCGGACGATGTGTCAGAACCTGCTAAAACCGTAATCGTGGACGCACACCCTTTGGAGACAAAATGCGAAAGTAGTGCATATATAAGCAAAGACTTGCAGCTAACCTCTAGCGGTGGCTTCAAGTTTAATTTTGTCCTAGACGAAAACAATGATGATTTAAATTTAAATGCATTGTCAATAAAAAGTTAAAAATTGTTTCGCTTATATATGTAATTTAGTTGAAAGCAACAATCGCATGGTGTAAACGGCCTTTCAACTAATCGCTTTCGATTAAGTTGGTCGGTTGCCTATTTTTGTTCAACTCTTGATTCAACGAATCGCCAGAGAAAGTTGAATCCTGTACATTCCTTATTAGTTCATTGCGCCATGATTCAAAAAGACCGGGCCCCTACTTTTAACTCTAATTTCAAATGCGGATTGCAGCGACACGCTAAAATTTCGCGGTGCATGTTAAGTGTGCGTTTATACATCAGAGGTGTTAAAGAATGCAATCATTTTTAACTAAATTATTCATTTGATTGAAGCCCCGAGTGATTGCAATCAATTTTTTAGTCCTGACTAAGACTAAAAAAAAATTAGTCTTTATTCTTTTTTTTTTGATTTATTATTCATAAATCACCTTTTTATTCATTTCTTGTTAGTTACTTGATTTCAGCCATTGGATTGCATTATTTTAGTCACTTTGTATTAGTGATTTGATTTCAGCCATTGGAATGCATTCTTTTATTCGGTTTTAGTTTATTTCTGCATGAAAACAAAAGGTATGTCAAAACATGTGAACAAAACTCTAAAAAAAAAACACTTAAATGTTAAGAATGAGAGGGACGTCCGCGTGTCGAGATGACAAATCGTGTCAGTGAAAACCCTATGTATATATAGTAGACAAATCTACAGAAAATAACTATGCTTAACCGGACCCGATTATTAAAAAGGCATACCTTAAATACTACACACCCTTGCCATCTTCGGCCGCAGTAGAAATACTTTTTTCGTTTGCTTTATTACTGAATACCACACGCCGTGGAACGCTTTCTGAAAACAATTTCGAAAAATTGCTGTTGCTGAAAGTTAACGGGGACGTATAAATAAGTTTCAAGAATCATTGTTAATTTCTTTGGAAATATGTTCACATGCACTTTGTTATTTTTTCATTTACATAATATGTACAGATTATGTACATATAATACATACAAATTTATTTCATTAGAAGTTACTGGAATTCACTGACATTTTCTAAATATTTTATATACTACTGGAGTTTTAATTAATCTTTTTGTGTACTCATTTGATTTCTAAACAAATAAGCATTATAATTCTATGAAAAAATGTACGCGAAGATTGCTTTAAATTTTCATTATTCACCTCAGACTGCAAAAATGACTAATTAGTCATGAATAACAGAAAAGACTGTCAGCGAATGTGACTGCGAAGATTTTAAGTCACGAGGACTGCATTCTTTAACACCTCTGTTATACATCCGTATCACAATGAACGACTTAAATTCACACGAATTAATGCATCGTATAAACACGGTAAATAAAACTTTTTATGCCCGCAGCGGCCCAAAGAAAAGCGTTAAGCATTAACCAATAGACCATTCAATTTTTTTAGCTTTAAAATCTTATTTTGAGGATTTTTAAGCGACTTATTTGGCAACACTGGTTGCAATATGGCAGCACCAAAATGTCATATATCGAACGAGACAACGAAACGAAAAACGAGAAAATTTGCAAGATTTTTACAAGCTTTTTATTTGATAGGGATCGAGAATCGCTGAAAAAATTAGAGAAGGATTAAGCTACGAAAAATTAATCATTTTATATATTCGGCATGTTTTAAATGAAAGGCTTGTATGAAAGTTAATTATATCCAGAGCGGAATGTTTTAGAAAATATAACCAAATTAGGAGAAAAGTGACAATTGGAGTAAGTTTTCGATAGCCCACACGAAACGAGTAGAAAGCCAGGCAAAGAATAGAAAAAAAGGTAAACGTGAACGGAGCCGCGAAAATTCCAAATTTGGGAAAATCTTGAAAAGCGGTTTAGGCAACTGATCTGAAGAAGCGCCAGAATAGAAGATTCGAAATAAAATTGTCGGTCAAGGTTTAACGCCGGCACCCCAATTTGGTATTAGGTCGCAAACGAGAGGTAGTTAATTGTAGGTCCTTGACTTTTCTTATCACCGCTGCAATACATACACACAAAGACACATCCCAGAATGGCCGGCAAATCCAGACCGAATTTGAAGTTCACGCTTCATAAGGAACCCGAGCCGGAAATGTAGGTGTCCAATTTTGGTTAATACCCATTCAATCTCTTAACATAATAACAATTTTATATTTATTTGCAGTGTGCCCCCACGGAATTTAGACTCAAGTACCACAATTAAAATTGGTGATCGAACCTTCGAAATTAATGCTGACAGCTTAGAGAAAATCGCAGATTTGGGTCGTGGTGCATATGGCGTTGTAGAAAAAATGCGACACGAACAGACTGGCACGGTTATGGCTGTAAAACGTATCACAGCAACTGTAAATCGAAAAGAACAAAAACGCTTACTAATGGATTTAGATATTTCCATGCGTTCGAGCGATTGTCCCTACACAGTGCATTTTTATGGAGCACTCTTTCGAGAAGGTGACGTTTGGATATGTATGGAAGTAATGGATACAAGCTTAGACAAATTCTATCCGAAGGTGTTCAAAAACAATTTAACTATGGAGGAAAGCGTTTTGGGAAAAGTACGTACATAGCTAAAATGAGTATTGATATTTTTAAGGAATTTATTGTATTGAATTTTTATTACAGATTGCCATGTCAGTCGTGAATGCACTACACTACCTGCACGCACAACTTAAAGTTATTCATCGCGATGTAAAGCCGTCAAATATTTTGATCAATCGCAGTGGTGAAGTGAAGATGTGCGATTTTGGTATCTCTGGTAAGTAATGTAAACAAACGGTTGCTTATGACTGACACGTATTATTACGCAACCATTGCGTATAAAGAAACTAAGTAAAAGTAATTAGCATTCCGAATTGCTTTGCATAAAAAAACTTACTTTAAATAATTCTTTTGACAGGTTACTTGGTTGATTCTGTTGCTAAAACGATCGATGCTGGCTGCAAACCATACATGGCACCCGAGCGTATTGATCCAACAGGCAATCCTGCTCAATATGACATACGTTCTGATGTCTGGTCGCTGGGTATCAGTATGATTGAAATGGCAACTGGCCGGTTCCCTTATAACTCCTGGAAAACGCCTTTTGAGCAGTTAAAACAGGTATTTTCGTAAACTGATTGTGCAATGTTACTCTTTAGTCATCAACAAATGTTTTTAGGTCGTGAATGAGAGTCCACCACGTCTTGAACCTGGCAAATTTTCAACCGAGTTCGAAGACTTCATAATTAAGTGTTTACAGAAAAACTATACAGCGCGTCCCAATTATGAACAACTGCTTAAACACGATTTTATTGTTGAGCACATAGAGCGTGATACAGATATTTCGGAATTTGTGTCGAGAATATTGGATTTGCCGGAATAATCTGTTCGTGCGCGAGCAGTATATTTTCACTAAAGCTTCAATGCATCTAAATTGTAAACTAAAATAGTGGTTAAGTAAACGATTAAACAAAAGCGATTAAATTTCCTTGAGGCCTTCACAGAAATTTGGCGCAGTGAATTGATAACAAACAAATAAAAAAATAAAATAAAAATATAAAAAGAAAATAAATGGATTACAATTTGAAGTAGAGCTATGTATTATAATAATATCTTCACACTAAGTGTACCAGATGTTAATATGTAAGAGTCAAATACTGCTTTATATTCAAAAACTGTTGCCTTATTGAAAAATGTTTATGTTTTATATTAAAAATCATAAAATTATAGTAAATGTAATGAAATGGTTGCTAGAATCTAAAATAAATTACTAAATATTCACAAATAAAAAAGGAAAATAACGCAGCCATAACTTTAATATGTTGGCAGAAGTTAAAGTGCCTATTTAAATTTTAATACAGAATTGTTATCATGCAGAAATAGAAAACCTTTAAATATGTTAAAAAAAAAATCTAAAAAAGGAATCGAAATAAAAAATAAAGTACACGCATATATGCGAAGTTGTTAAACGGTAAAATAAACTAAAAGCAAACAAATATGAAATAAAATACATAATGTGCTACACGCCACAAGACTTACAGGCATTGCCTTTGAATATTTCAGTTAAACATCCTCGTACGGGAACTAAAAACTCAAACTCCGTAACATATGCATATAGAAGGCAAAATCGCTTCGGCGCATTGCATTCTTTTCAGCGCCTATTGTTCATTTGGCCTGTCAATGTGCCTGTCATTTTATGCAACTTTTTAAAGTGTGTACTACCACCCAAACACCTAAAAACATTCTTAATTGTAAGTACGATTCTAAATTACTGGAATATTTATACAACGCAAAAAAATCAACCTTATTTTCTATTTACTTCGAATTCATTCCGAAACAAACTTCAATAGTCACATCAAATCCAATTGGAGCTATGAATTTTGCTGGACGTCTGCAGTTCCGGCGCCTTTTGGGTTTGATAGTGCGTCAAAACTTCAATCGCGAGTGTGAAAATGCAATCAATGCACAAATACAACTGGAATTGAAATCAAGCTACGATTACTTAGCCATGGTTTGAAGAATATTTTTTATCACTTTATCGAGATTAAGCGCATTTCATAGACATATAAACTTTAATTTGTTACAGGCATACCATTTTGACCGCTGCGATATGGCTTTACCCGGCATATATGGATTTTTCAAGGCTGCTAGCGATGAAGAACGTGAACATGCTGCAAAATTCATGGAATACATGAACAAAAGAGGTGGCACAATACTGCTACAGGATCTACCAGCTCCACAATTTAAGTTTACGACACTTAAAGCAGCGCTGGAAGAAGCATTGGATATGGAGAAAACGGTCAATGAGGTAAGCAATGAAATTTATAGAGATGATCAAGTGTGCTTATTTGGAGGGTTAAATGTTTCTCTTCAAGTCCCTGTTGGCACTACATGCTTTGGCAAGTAAACACATTGATCCTCAACTATGCGATTTTCTGGAGACACATTTCCTCGCCGAACAAGTTGATGCACAAAAACAGTTGGCCGATTATATAAGGCAAATCGAACGCTGTGAAAAAGAGTTGGGTGTGCATATATTTGATAAAGACATTAAAGGAAAGGAAATGCATTAGGGTGTTGGAAATTGCTTAGGAACAAATTAACGGAATACGGCTCTCATAACGAATACTGCAGTATTTGTTGGACGTTAATTAAAAAAAGAAAAATAAAATAAACCAGCTTGCTTGTGTTTGTGTGATATCCGCATAACTTCCCTGCAAACCATTTTTTCAGAGTATTCTGAATTGTAGAGAAATTTTTAAGAATTCGTAAAGATCTCATCCGATTTATTTCTTTTACGAAATTTCGGAAGAAAAGCGGTAAAGCAATGAAGATTCGTATAAAAATCGTTACAGAAATAAGATACTCCTAAAGATTTCGTTAAGATTTCAGGAACTTTGGTTTGCAGGATTCTTTATGTGTTTAAGGTTAAAATTTTATGTACATAAAATCTATTGTCAATTTAATTTATTTTAATGTCGAATTATGATATGTGAGGAGATATACAATACGATAAGTAAATGTGATAAGGATACTGACTGAATTTATTTCTGAAAGGCGTACGTTGAAATAGTACCTAACCCTAGAATCGTAAGACGGTTTTACCCTACGTACTACACCGTTACGTACTACGCCGCTTAGGTATGTTATTTTAAATAAATGTTTAATAAAAACTTAATCGATTAATTACCTACTTGTTTATACAACAAAATAATAAAGAAAGCACTGCCGAGCGCACAAAGCGATAGGGAATAACGGTAAAAAGTAACGGAACTTTATGCGGCGTACACGTAAAATTTATAAATATTACGAAAGTGTTAAAAAAAATCAAAAATAAGGGCTGTTTCCAGCTCCAAAGAAAAAAGTGAAAAATTAATATCAAATGACACACAAGAAATATAAAAGAGATTTTATTCTACACTCTCGTTTCATTTCCAATAATTATTCAGCACTATCACTGAACCCAGCGATATGTGCTGTTTTGTATTCCTCCTAAATTCGCGGATTTTCGATTTCAGTGACCTAGTAAAATTTGCTACTTGGTATTTTTGTAGAACATTTTGACACTCTAACTTCTGTTAAAAATATATATATGCATATATATATTCTAAAAGAGTTGCCTTAGCAAACACTGGGCTTGTTTGAATTTCAATCACATCCGCAGCAAATAGTGCATATATTAAGGCGCAATATTTAAC